TTCAATACATAGATTTAGTCCATTTTTTACTATTCAGAATGTTTTCTTTTGTGATAACTTAAATATCCTTAGCTCCCTTCTATATTATTCATTCATTGCTTTTCTTCTTCTTGTTTTTTATGTCAGAAGAGACTCCATGGGCAACTGTAATAACTCCCAGGCCCCTCATCCACTGAAATTCCAACCACAACTAAATCAACAATCAATAGTGTCATATCATATTCAAGCTGAATGTTGTTAGAATGAATCATAACACTTTTCTCATAGACTTTCATTCACTGCCCTGACTCAGAAACATGCATTAAACTCTACCTAACAATCCTCATTTCTCAAGTTATATTCATTTGCACAAAAACTGTTACTAGTTTTTCCCTTCTCAGAATTTTTAACCAATGATAAAACAAGCATTAACTTAACAGTAAAGACAATTTTTCTTCCTGACAGGAAAAATGAAAGAATAACTTCCAAGTTAACTTCTGTGGTTAGAATGCTCCTCCTAATAGTTGACATACTGGAAGCTTAGCGGCTAGTGTGATGGTATTGGGAGGTGGCAGAACATTTAACTGATTGGGATGGATGAAAGAGGTTGTATTACTGAGCGTGCTGCCATTGGAAGAAATTAACGTAGCTTTATAGCAGAAAACTGGTTAGATCCTGCAGGAGGTTTTATAAGCAGAGCAAGCTTAGCCTCTGAAACTAGCTCGCTATGCATGACCTCTTCCACAACTCCGTAACTGTGATGTCATCTGCCAAGAGGTCCTCACCAGAGGATTGGCTGATGGAGCCATCCAATCTTGAATATTAAGCATGTAAACCGATGAGCTAAACATGTCCTTTTTCTTTATAAAGTACCTATCCTTTGGCATTTTGTTATACTAACAGGAAACTGAACTGGACATATAGAATGGGAAAGTGAAAGGGCCCACAGATATATTTGAATAAACAAAAGCTTCCAGCTTTATCTTCTAATTCCAACTATTTTTTTTTACAATTTGAATAAAATATGCAAGTATAAATTGGTCAAGAAATGACAAAAAAGAATGAAAGAGTGGTTGGTAAGATAATTCTATGAACAACAGAAGCAATGCTCAGCATAAATTATTAACTCATCCTATGAAATTTCAGATTTTTAGTTCTTAGTTTCAGATATAAGAGGTATAGGAGAAAAATAGGTTATAAATAAAAACATAAAGATATGTATGAAAAAGATAAGATTTTAATTATACCAATTTAAGCAAATTCCTTTAACTTCATTTGAAAACTATCAAATATATTAACAATTTAAAAATTATCACTGAGGGCTGGGGAGATAGCTCAGTAGAATAAGTGCTTCCCTGGCAAGCACAAGGGCCTGAATTCAATCCCTGGTCCCACCGAAAAAATAAAATAAAATAAAATAAAATAAAATAAAATAAAATAAAATAAAAATATACATTATCAATGATTTTGAAGACTTTCAATATAAAAATGGACTGAGGCTAAAATATGGAATGATACAGAATACAATATAATTAGAAAATATGCTGTGCTAAATAATAGCTTTAAAATTAAGGTAAAAATCTTGTGATAGTTCATCTAAAATGCCAAAAAGCCATTTAATCATGAGAAAAACATCAAATAAACCCAAATTTAGAGCTACTCTACAAAACATGAATAATACCCTCTCAAACATATCAAAAGCATGGGGAGGGGCCAGGGAGATGGCTCAGTGGAATAAGCGCTTCCCTGGCAAGCGCAAGGGCCTGAGTTCAATCCCCGGTTCTGCCAAAAAAAAAAAAAAAAAGCATGGGGAGACTAATAATTTGTCACATATAAGAACTGATGGAAAATCTGGAGAGAAATTAAAACTAAATGCAACATGGTACCACGGGCTGCATCCTAAAGCAGAAGAAGGACACAAATGAGAAACTGGTAGAATCTGAATAACAGAAAGAGTTAATAAGTTAATACCACTGTATCAATATTGGTAATTTACCTTTAACAAACACTACAGTAATATAAGGCAAAATGAGGGAAAATGGAAGACAGACATATGGGAATTCTCAGTACATTATCTTTGAAAGTTTTCTATTATCTACAACTGTTCCAAATAAAAAAGGGTACCTTTTAAAAGGGTCAATGTAAAAATATGATTGTAATCCAATAGTTTAGGTATATGATTATTACAACATAAAAATAAAAATTACTGGTTCACCTGATGGCTTACAAAAATGCAAATTCAATTATCAACAACTGCTTTCCCATCCCCCCCAAAAAACACTGCAAGTATAATTCAATGGTAGGTATCTATTTATAAAGACCAGCTGCAAATACTGCCCAATATTAATTTCTTTCTTTACCTACTTATATGATGAGAGGCAATGGGGAAAAGAAACCTAGGAAGAAGGCATGAGTGGCAATCAATATTTAATAAGTCTTTATTTTTAGTTAGCTTTAGAAAATTTATGGCGTTTACAGCATAATTGTTTCCAAGAACATAAAAATGCTTTCAGTTCTCTTTTCAATAGTGCAATGAGTAACCTAAAATTCAATGCACTCAGTAACAAAAATTTAAAAATCGGTGACATTTTACAAATTTAAGTATTGGGGTCAGGGAGATGGCTCAGTGGAATTAATGCTTCCTTGGCAAGCACAAGGGCCTGAGTTCAATCCCTGGTTAAAAAAAAAAAAAAAAAAAAAAAGTATCTTCTCCTATAAATCTGATGATAAATGTCAGACTTTCCCATCTGGATAAGACAAAGACTCCTTTGTTGCATGCCAATCCTCAGCCATGAGCAAAAAAAAAAAAAGATTAAATATAAAGTCATCTATATAAGAGGTCAGAGGCCTATTACCATAACAGTAAGTTGGGTGGCTAAGACCCTACAGAAGAGTTAACTGGAAAGAGATAACTGAGGTCTACAATCACTTTTTTTCCCCGATGAGTTTTAAAAGTTCTAGATATGGGGAAAGAGCTAAGAAAATGGACTGACTAGGGAGACAGCTCTGGCTGGAGGACAGAAACTGAGATTTTGTGGTTAGACAGAACTGAAGTAACAAAAGTGGAGTAATAGTGTTTTGCACTGTATTACAATGCTGAGGAAACAAACAACAACATTCAGGATGTGCCAGTATCAGGGTCTTAGAAAATACTCTGCTCCCAATGTGGGAGATCACAGGTAGATTCAGATTTACCAAAATTCCCCAGCTCCATGGAAGACAGTAGGACATTTTGGACAGAGATAAAAGTGAGTTCATAGGAAACATTTGATGAAGCAGGACTGATTAAGTCATGACCTTGAGTGAGGAAGAAAAGATGTGCTTTAGTACAAAAGTAGGAAGGATGCTTTAATAGAGAGTCACAGTAAAAAAGAAGTAAAGCAGAAGAGGCAGGGGATATAGGTATTAACACACATAGGCTGGCAGATGATGAACGGTTAGTACCACGTGCAACCTCCCATTTTCTCCCAATAGAGAAAAGAGGTGCATCTAGGGAGGAAGCAAAGACTTTAGACAGACCTATAGAAGGGAATGGACTAGTTAAGGCCAAAAAGAATGCTAGATTCTAAGGGCTCAGTTTAGACAGCAAATTGTATGACCTTCTCCTTTCATGTAAAGTTGTTAAGGTAGAGATCAAATAGGAAGATGAATTTAACCAGGCTTTGATTTTACTACATGAGGTGCAGAAAAGGAGAGAGGATCAAGAGAAATGAGTTTAAGAAAGTTGGTAATGGGCTGGGGAGATGGCTCAGTAGCCCTGGCAAGCACAAGGGCCTGAGTTCATTTCCCAGTTCTGAAAAAAAAAAAAAAAAAAATTGGCAATAATTATGATGGGCCGCAGACTCTTTTAAGCTTTGTAAGGAGAAAAATAAACTGGGCATAGTAGTTTAAGCCTATAATGGCTGGGAAGCTGAGGCAGGAGTATCACAAGTTCTAGCCTAGACTAAGCAACCTAGTACGGCTTTGAATCAAACTGTAAAAATAAAGGCTAGGGATGTAACTCAACATAGAAGTCCCAGGGTTTAAGGAAAGGTTGGATGCAGAAACTCATGAGAGGTCTGAGGTTCAAAGAAACTGGTAAAACCCATAAAAGAGGTACCAGTGGAGTTGAAAAATAGCTGGAATCAGGAGCACTAGGGTAAATAAGCCAAAAGAAAGCAGGTGGAAATAAAAACTAGAGATGCCACAATGAAACTTCTGATGAACAAGATAGCACACAACTATAAGCCAGATTATAGAAGTACTGGAGTATGCAACACCAGCTTCAAAAAGAGAAACTCCACAAAGTGAGTTACTAGCATATAAACCACCAAGAATTAAAACAGGAGTGGCTTGATGAAAGAGACAGAGAAATCAATTCCAAATCTTTATGAAATGAGAAAAGTGACATAGGAGTATGTCTACGACTACAATGGGAGTACTGGGTAGTAGAGTTTGATGCAAAAGTCTCAAAGCTGGAGCTATTCAGGAAGGAAAAGGAACAATGACCAAAAAATAATAATGAAGAATTATCTACCAGGCCCAGTTCTAGAACTAGCAAGAGACACAGTAACATCAGTTCTACTTGAGTGGCCTCAGGGAATAAATAGGTTTCAGTAAGAGCAGGAAGGTGGAAGTAATAGTCAAAACAAGAGTACACTAATAATTTGATCTACTAAAGAATATTTAGTAAAAGGTACTTAAGTATACATTTTGAATAAAACAGTAAAAACAAAACATTCTCAATCCTGATAAGACTGTAACTTGAGTAAGAAAACTCATAAAAATGATTAATGAATATAATTACATTTTGTAAAAAATTAACATAAGTATTTTATGTTATTAAGAAATGATAATACATTAAATTTTATAATGAAGGTGCATACTTTGGCTCAATAAGTATTAGCATGCTTAATTATTATGGTATTAATTACATGCTTAAAATAATTGAAATAAGACTCTATGGGAAAAATCACTTTTTAATGATTTAATAAAGAAGAAAAACAGTAAGTACATGCTTTAAAAGATACACGCAGAATTACCTGACACAAAGCAGCATCCCGCTCTTCTATCACAGCATTCATTTCTTCTGCAGTTATTCTCTTTTTACACTCCTTGGTCTTGTAGATTCTATCCACAATTATAGCTCCATTCTTCTGAATAGCTATCCCTGTGTCTGCATTGTTTATTCTGTTCAGTAATTCCTGTAATGTCTACCAACACCATTATATGTTAGTCAGACATGAAGTTTTAATATATTTTATTTAATATAGGGTTTTAATTAATAGGCACATGTGAATTGTAAATTGACTGAGTGAAGTTATTGAATTTTCATATTGCAGCAAAGATGTACATTATTAGTGTGTCAATTCTTCTTTTTCCCACATCTTAGTTCTTGAAACCCACTCAATTGAACTTAAGCCTCTAAGATATAAGACTGACATCAAGAAATCTCCTCAGAGAATGGCTTACCATGTCATTTTCTTCAGGGTTAATATTTTCGAGCCTAGAAAAAAGGGACACAGAAAGCCTGATCAGTAGCATTTCCTTAGTGCAGCAAAATGAGTTCGCTTTTTAAATCTTTAGAACCTCAAGTAATTTCATTCGACTAGTCTTTAGAGTCAACCATGACACTGAACATATTAAAGTGCCACCTGCTCGACTCCATCTTTCAATAATGCTCTATATCTTCTGCACTGACTTCAGACTGTTAAGTTATTAATGTTTACTGCTATATATGACTACAAGGATCAATTGTTCATATGTGCTTAGATGAAGAAAGTTCCCCAGTGATAGAAGCACTCATACTCACCATTATATTTATTCCTGGACTTCCAATTCTTATCACAAACTGTATTTCCTCTTTTTGAACAGCATCACAAGTAAAACAAGGGAAGTATTTTTATTACAAAGTTTAACTATGTTCCCTCAAAAGCAATGACAAATAAATACACTAAGTTTGATCTGAAAGTCTCTTGTTGCTATTTGTTAGAACAAATATACTATATAGATAGGCTGTCTAAAATTGGACCGTTCTTTCAGATGACTGTTTTCTTGTTTTCATATATGGCATTATTTAACTAAAAAGCAAAGAGTATAAATTGCTTTCCCTTATAAATGCATGTCATCTTATGAGAGACAGCACTTACTGACAAACTGAAGAAATGCACTGAAGAAGTTCTAAACAGCATCTTAGAAAATGGCTATAATTTAAGCAACCATTAAACTGAAAAAATTAATAGAAAATCTGTAATGGGTAATAGCGAAATGATATATATTCTAGATCAGTCTCAATTATTTTGAAAATATAATAAAAAGTTAAGACATCCAAGTTATTGTTTTCAGGAAGTATTCTGTAGACTAATATACAAATACTTTAACAATTTTTTTAATTAATTTTACTGAGAAACAAATAGCAATGAGACAGTTTCAAAACTGATTAGTAGGACAGTGTCCATAATTACTAAGTGGTTTGCTTCCCTCATTCATGATCCATATATCATGCCTAGAATGTTAAAGTCACTAAAAACCAGTTCAAATTCATTCTTCCAAAAATGACAGACATTACATGTCATGTATTTTGAAAGGATATCACATGAATTAAACTGTGATTCTAAATTCACATGCTTGTTATAGTAAATATATAATAAACCTAGGAATGCAAAAATTGATTGAGCGGGGACTTGGGTAATATCAAATGTTAAAGCAACTGTCTTTTGCTGCTGTATGAAATGTGGTTTTCAGAATTTTGGGGAACTTACATAGGTTTTACTTCTTTCACAAATGGGATGGGGACCAAGACATGGAAGGAAAGAGTGTAGGAAGGGGAAGTGAATGCTAAAAACAATTAAGATGTGTTATGTGAGTATACCATGTTTCCCACACTGAAAGCAATTGTTATGTACCTCAAATGCATACTAATAAAAATTTAATGTATAAATGTTTTTAAACTTTAGAAGGAAAGGAATCCTTAGTGAAAACAGTAAAAAGGAACCAAAAGATTTGGAATTTATGCTGCCTGTGTATTCCCAAAATGCCATTTGATTTTTAACTTTAAATTGGAAGTCACATAAAATGACCCCATAATCCCTAGCCAGTTGGGCTACATATACCATGCCCGCAATAGATTTTCAAGAGTTATTTATAGTACTTTACTGTAAACAAATGAGTTTTTTTCAAAAATGTTACTAGGCTTAAATAAGTTTCATTCACATCTAGTTTATGGAGTGTATCTGTTCAGTTTAGAGTAAAAATGTCATGCAGAAATATTGTGAACTCATAAATAGTACCCTTATTCTCACTTTTAAAAGAAAACCCAAGATAAGATTAAATTACAATCTCAGTATCTTTTATAAGTGAATGCAATTATGGGCCAGCCAGGTAGCTCAGAGGATTAAAGGTATCTGCTTAGGCAGGCACAGGGACCAGGGTTCAATCCCCAGTGTGTCATGCCAGCCCCGCCCCTGAGGTGCACTGAGACCACAGTTGAGACTGAGCGTGATGGGGCTCACCTGTAATCCCAATGCTTGGGAGGCTGAAAACAGGAGGATCACTATGAGTCTGATCTGTGTAGTGAGATCCTGTTAGACCCTGTACTAAATACAACTTGAGAAAAGTAATCTCTTCCTCTATAATTTTTCTTCAAGTAAATCAGATTTTCAAAGATGATTTGAAAGTTTGTTCTTCAAAAACTGAAAATTATCATTACACTTATTTACTTAATTTGGAAATACAGGGGCCGGGGAGATAGCTCAGTAGAATAAGCGCTTGTCTGGAAAGTGCAAGGGCCTGAGTTCAATCCCTGGTTCCGCAAAAAAATAAAATAAAAAAACCCTGAGAAATATAACAAAATTCTAACATTTATGTTCATCGTAAAAATACCAGCAGCACTTAATCATCAGTTACTGTTTCATTTAGAATGATTTTAAGGAAGTCATCCGTAGTGAGGAAATACTGATTTTAATGTTATGCTTTTACAGATGAAATCAGATTATGAGCTGAGTATGGCAATTTGCCAATACAATCCAGTTTAAATATCTAAAATTTTCACAATTAAATTTCACAATTTAAAATGTATACACACACATAGCTAAATATTTACATTCATAGATTCTTGGATATTATTAAAAAATTTAGACTAAGATAATAAATCTCCACTTTCATTTCCAAAGAATTATACATAACAAGATTGAAAACAACTGTAGCTAGGCTACCTAATTTGTGTATCTCTAACATAACAAGAACTTGTTTGTAATATTTATAAATTCCTGTAGGACCTTCAATATAAAGAATAATTTAATAAGAGATAGATAAACAGTTCAATGTTTTAAAAACTTAACAGAAATGGAATGAAACAATCATATTTGCTTTAATATTAAACTTCCCTGCTAATAATTGAGAACTTTTAAATCAAAATCACATTTTCTTTCTTTTTTTTTTCCCCTTTTTTTTTTTTTTTTTGCGATGCTGGGGACTGAACTCAGGACCCTGCACTTACCAGGGAGGCACTTAATCTACTGAGCTATCCCTGGCCCAAAAAGAATCAAGTTTTCTTATTGTGGGCTACATTATATCCCAGACACATTAATTCAGCATTCAGACTTTAAATAATTTGTGAGATTGCCCATAAAAGCTTGTAACACAATGATTTGTAATTTGCTGATAAATGAATTTGAATTACTGAAGTACTAAGGTTTACTTGTAACACGTACAAAATAGTAAGAAATAAAAGTCATGGTTGTTGGGCTGAGGAGACAGCTCAGTAGCATAAGCACAAGGTCCTGAGTTTGATCCCCAGTACTAGAATAAATAAATAAATAAATAAATAAAATAAATAAATAAAATAAAGTCATAGATGGTTTTATACGAAATATAGCTCACAAACTATAAATTATATATCCTTATTATGGAAAAAAAGAGTGATGCTTCTCACATATGTGTCACCTCATGGTGAAAATGCAATTATTTTGTATGGTAACAGGTAATAATAATTTTTTAAAAAGTAAAGAATCTACATCTGTGTAAAATCTAAATTATGCTTACTACAGTTGAAGTCACAAAGTCATGATAATTAGTAAGAATTTTGCTGAAGTAAATGTCTACAAGTTCAAGTTCTGATTGATTTCCTATACTAAGCAAATTCTGACTGACAATCTCACACTGTAAGTGAAAAGACTCTGCAAGAAATGTTACCTTTCATGATTATCCCTCTCAATCAGTCAATATTACATTTTTCCTTTCTGAAAGTACAGTGGGTGACTATGTTCAATAGTAAGAAGCAAAACCCTGACCTCAAATAACAAACAACTAATGAACAATAATTCAGAAAATTGACTTGTTTGCTTTCATTCTCATTTTTCAGTGTCAAAATTCTTTAAAAAAAAAAACCTCTAAGAATAAAAGAGACTGAAAAATATGTTAACATCTCAGGAGTTCAAATGTATATACATAATGTGTATACACATCTATGTGTATTGGCTCATTTTAACTTGAATCCTCATTTTCTCATTTTAGATTTAAGCCAAAAAAGAAGGAAAGAAAGCACTGAAAATTCAAGAGGTAAAGGAGAAGCAGAAAAACATGAAAATAAGAAGAGAACTACACTATAGTAGGAGATACAAAGTAGGGTAGAAGTGGCAAAGGAGATAGGGAAAAATAAAGACAAGAAATTTGAAGATCAAAGGACCATAAGATACAAAAAATAGGAACTTAAGGAGGGATAAAGTAATTTATGCATGTTACATTCTATATTGAATTCTTCCAAATATGTCTTTAAGTAAAATAAAATTTGGTTATGAATTTATTCTAAAATTTATTGCAAAGTGATGTCTTGAAGTTTAGAAGCTATAAACTCAACTATAGACAAAGAAACCTCCACAGTACCATACAACATTAGCTGATATCTGGTTTTTTTGGTTGGTATGAATGTTCTTAATTCCCTTCCACCCACACTCCTCACTATGATATAAAAAGCTCCTACTACAAACTGTTTATAGGAACCAATGATCTTTGCACCAGTTAATACTGTTTTAAGTCCTTGTTTAACTATTTAGGTCATGTTCCTAAATAAACTGAGATCATAATGCTATTACTTGACAGCAACTGGCACTTAACTGATGCTAGTAGCATATAATCAATAAATGTGTATGGAATTAATTAATTTAAAGACAAAGTGAGGATTGAGTGTTTTTCTTTTCTCTTATTTATATTCTTCCCTTAACACAAATGCTACAAAGAACAAAATAAAAATGACTCTGTTTCAAGAAACACTGGTTCCAATATACTGTCATAAAAAGAGTAACAAAGAAATGTATAAATTAAAGAAGATATGCAATGGAATATAAAAAATTATGAAAAAGGATACCATTTATTTAGATTTATCAGTTTAGAGACAGAATAAACAAACTAAGAGATTGATTTAATAGCTTTTCTAAGGAAGAAGTTTTAGCTCAGATAATTAGGTAGCGGATTTAGTCACTGATTGGGACAGAAATTATGGAAGAGAGG